ATATTATTATTGTTATTACTATTACTATTACTATTACTATTACTACTACTACTACCACTATTATTATTATTATTGTTGTTGTTGTTGTTGTTGTTGCTGTTGTTGCTGTTATTATTATTATTTATAATTTATATAGTTAACCTCTTGTGGTTCGACCACGGTCTTTCCGGGTTATTTATTATTTCGACACTACTACACTTGAGAGAAGACATCAATCTTTTGGTCGTGTCATGGTTAGACCCCGGTCTTGTCGAGTTATTTATTACTTTGACACTCCTGCACTTGGGATAAGATATCAATCTTTTGATTGTGTCAAGTTTCTTGTGTCGTTACCGGGGAGATAAGTTACAATATAAATTATATATTTTATTTTATTTTTCTTTTCACTTTTATTGTTTTTTTAATTTTTGTTTTTTCCTTTTCTTTTCTTCTGCAATTACATGAGAGTTTGGACACACATATTAAGTGGTAGACTTTCTAAAAAATCCTCATTATTTTCATAAAATATGGCTAAAAAGGATAATTAACACGATCAAAAGTTGATATCTTCTTCCAAGTATAGGAGTGTTGAAGTAATAAATAATCTAGCAAAACCGAGATCAAACCACACAGAGGTTAACTATATAAATTATAAATAATAATAATAATAGTAATAATGATGATGGTGGTGGTGATGGTGGTGATGATGATGATGAGTTAAATATGACTTTAAGATATATGATTAATGTGAGTTTTAAACAATAATAAAAACAATTGTCAATATTAGAGGATCTACTAATGGTATTTCAAATAAGTATAGTATAAACTCTTTTTATTACTCAACTAAAAATCACACACAAAGAATATTCTAATTGGATGATTTATCCTTAATAGGTCATTATAAATTTTTAACATGATTATATTAATTATCTTATTTAAGTAACACCACACTTTTAAATATTGGCAAGAATTCATGATGCTAACTTATGTTAACAATAAATCAAGTTTCTTCCATAGCACATGTGTAGGTTATACCATATGGTTGGCTGTAAAAGTGGCAAGCATTTGTTGTATCAAGTGTTATATAACACAAATCTAGATTAACCATTTAACAAGCAAGGTATTAAGAATTAATAAAATAAAAAGATAAGACACGTTAATAGAAAACTTTCTTAGATATAAACAATTAAGTCCATATTGAATTTATATTATACCTATTCTAACACTATTAGTGAAACTTTTTCACCTTGACATAATAAGCTTAGCTTAACATAATAAAGAAAAAAAAACATAAATAAACAATATAATAACATAAGTATAGTAAAGGAAATGAAAAGTATAAACAAGAGATTAAGAAAAATATAACATGAAATAAAACTTAAACATTACAAAAATATAAAAAAAGAAATAAATAGTATGATCTTGACCTGAAAACCAACATACCTAAATGCATGACAAATGCTTTCTTTAATAGACCAAAATTTGAAACTATTGATTTGATGACTAATTATTGAGTGGGTGGGCACTTCTTGACTTGGTGACAATCCTTATCTTCTTGTTTGAACAAAACATCATTGCTAACATCAGAATTTGAACATATAATCTTCATCAAAGTTCTGGAAAATTGTCTCAACTTTTCAAAAAAAAATCGATACATTTGGACTTCTAGAACTCGAGATATAAGCTGAACATTGAACAATTTCTAGGCTGCAGGACAGATTCAAACTTCTCCTTTTATGCTAAGATTTGGACTTTCAAACGACAGAATTGAGTCTTGGACTCTTGATGAATGTTTTAGACATATATTTTAGCTTTGTAGTCATATAAACTAAATTAAAATCCAAGATTTACAGTTTTAAATATGATCAAATGACTGAATAGTGTTACAATTTGAATTGGATCAGCTTCTCTTTTCTAAGCTTAGCCTTTTCTTCATTCTTTCATTTTCAATAGTTAATTATATCAATCAATCATTTAAATTATGAAGCTTTTCTTCATTCTTTCATTTTCAATAGTTAATCATATCAATCAATCATTTAAATTATGAGACATGTCTGCATTTAAAATAAGTATTTACCATAAATTAAAGCTATTTTATATTATCAAATTTGTTATTATAAAACATGCTTAAGTTAGGGAATTTAATAATACTTCAAGTGCAAAATGATAATATAAAATCTTAATAAAAATATATTTTTAAGTACTAATAAGTTTTCCTCCTTTCACAAATGGTATGAGATTAATATAGGGTATTTGAGAATATGGTAACCGTTGTTTTTTAAAGTATTTTTCACCTATAAATACATCAAAATAATTTTTTTTATTTTTTTAAAAATCATTTTTTATTTTAACACATCAAAATAATTTGAAAACACAAAAAAAATATTCATTTGAAGCATAAAAAAAATAATTTTTTTAATTTTTCTAAAAATACTTTTAAAATATAAAAGCAAATGAAGTAAAGACTAAAGAAATAATATTAACCTTTTTAAGATAAATTGCTTCAACTTATTATAAAAGACTGGAGAAATAATATTAATGAATTCATACCACATCAAGAGAAATAATATGAATTAGTACATAGTAAATTAATTAAATTATCCAATTAATTTCAGGGACAAATCCACAAGGAGAATATTCCAAATTAATGTCTAACGTGGAATGTTCAGTGCAGTGAAAGTCAGTCCGTGATTTTGGTTAACTCCCTAGTTCCCTGTTCTAGATATACAAATTTACAGAGCTGACAAACTGATCTTGTAAAGTGAAGTGAGAATTGTCACCTGTATTGTATCATAAACTAAAAGCTACCGAGTAATGGCACTAGTGGCCTGTATGGTAAGACACAAAACAAAATTTAAGGTGGACTTCACATGCTATTTTGCAGCTTAGGAGATTGGATGCCATTAACAAATTCCTTTGAGCTGGCCACCCCACACTGACCAGATCTTAAGCTCAAAAGCCCTTTGAATTTGATGGAAATAGTGACTAGCAACCAGTCATATATTCATCATCTACCGGCACTCGTATCATTCAAACACATTTCACCAATAATCCCTGCAAGAGCATGCTCCATTCTTGAAATGGTGGAATCTATGAGCATCTCTCACAACAATCTCCCTTCCAGTTACCTTAGAGATGAACTTGGTAGCAGTATGGCAATCCCCACATACCCTAAGATTTTTCCTAATCCTGATTACACTCTCGGGGCCCAAATTTAAGAGGCCAAACACAATGGCCAACTTCTCACTATGCAAGTAAAGCATGCTCTCCTTTGTCTCTTCATCGACATCATGCAATACAAAGTTTGTATCTGGTGTGTACCCTTTTTGACGAATCCTGTCCATCAATCTTTCCAACTCTGAATAAATTAGATCTGTTTGTGGGTGTGACCTATCCCCAGCTACGAATGCATAGAACTTGTTTTTTATCTCTATAACTGAGTACCCAGCAATTTTTTTCACCCCTCTGTTCTTCATAAGTGTTCTAATTGAATCAGCTTCTTTTCTTTTGCCAGTCAATGTGTAAATGTTGTACAAAATGACATATCTCCCAGCGTTATAAGGATCCAAATCAAATAATGCTCTTGCTACCGTTTCAGCAAGGTCTACATTTAAATGTATTCTACATGCCCCAAGAAGTGCCCCCCAGACAGCTGCATTAGGCCTTACTGGCATTCTCTCAATAAAATCGCAAGCTTCATCTAGCTTTCCAGCACGGCCTAGAATATCAACCATACATGCATAGTGTTCGGGTCTTGGTGTGACTCCAAAATCTCTAGCCATGGAATTGAAGCACTCCCATCCTTCAGCAACTAAACCTGAATGACTACATGCTGACAATATTGATACAAATGTTATATGATCTGGCTTTACAGAAGCCTTCATTTGATCAAAGAGGTTGGGAGCTTCTCTTCCCCAGCCAAGCATCCCATAGCCTGAAATCATGGCACTCCATGTGATGATATTTCTCTCCCGCATCCCATCAAAAACTTTTCTAGCATATGTTAAGCTTCCACATTTCACATAAAGATCAATCAGGGCAGTTTCTACTGCTAGTAATTGATTGTAGAAGAACCCAGTAGTTATGATCCCATGAACTATATGAGCGAGCTGGAAAGATGCTAGAGTAGAACAAGCTCGGATCACACCAAGAAGGGTGATAGCATCAGGGAATATCCCTTGCAACATCATTTGTTTTAAAAGGCCTAAAGCTTCAAGAGGCAAATCAGCCTTGACATAAGCCTCGATCATTGTTGCCCATGTCACCAAATCCTTACTCATAATGCCATCAAACAACTTTCTTGCAACTTCCACTCTCCCACATCGAGCGAACATTCCGGCTGCTGCACTCTGGACAGACTGATCAAAATCAAGTCCATTTTCTCCAACTACTCTATAAACATCATCAGCTTCCTCATGACTACGAACACAGGCCATCGCATTCAAAATAGCACCCCTGCTGGGTCTAGATCCCTCACTTAGCATCTGCCGAAACAATGAAAAACCTTCTTTACAACGGTCATCCTGCAAGCAAGCACCGATTATAGCACTCCACGAAACAGCATTTTTCTCAGGCATTTCATCAAACACTTGGCGAGAAAGCTCATACTTGTCACATTTACCATACATGGTAATGAGAGAATTGGAAATAAAAACTTGAGACTGGTATCCAAATTTAACAACATCTTGATGAACCCGAATACCAAAATCAAAGTGGCGGAGACAGCTGCAGGCCTTGATAATAAAAGGGAAGGTAAAATTGTCGGGCTGAATGCCTAATCTCACCATTTGTTTGTACAGAAGAATGGCATGATCGTAATGTGAATTATCTACAAGGCCACGAATCATGACATTCCAGAGGAAGAGATCGGCGGATGGGGTAGAAGAGAAGAGGGAGTAGGCGTAAGAAACGGAGCCCAAAGAGGCGTATTGGGCAATGAGGTTAGTGAGGAAGTGGAGGTTGCGGTGGAGGTGGGATTTGAGCATGGAGGCATGGAAAGTTTTGAGGGAATGGAGGGACCTGCCGCATTGCTTGATGAGTGATGTGCATGTGTCTGCTTCTATTGGTGCTGATGTCTGTGTTTTTGCTTCTGCACTGACACTGCAGAAACAGCGACGAAACCACTGGTTTACCTTATTCATATCAAACAAACATGGAGGGAAATCTTCTTAACTTACAAACCTGTATGATGGATGGTTCATCATCCTCGGCTCCATTTTCTACATTGATCTTGGGCAAAAAGCCTAAAATTAGTGAGGGTACCGGCGCAACATTAGAGGTACTACTTAAAATTAATTTTTAAAGCGAGAGAAGAAATAATATATATATATACACAATAAAAAATATTTACATTATTAAATTATAAAAAAGAATTATTAACTCTAATTAAAAACTATATTAAAATTTAATCATTCTTATAATAGATAAAAAATAGATACAAATGTAAATAACTCTTTTCTTACCATCAAGTACCTTTTAAATATTTTTTATTTAATTATATAAAAATCACATTAGATATTTATTAAAAAAACATTATTGATTAAAATTCTATAGAAAAAATATAATTTTTATTATAAATTATCTTTTCTTATTAATGTATTTTGTTTTACAAAAATATGTTTTATTAGTAGCATGGTTTATTGAATAAAAACTAAAAACAATTAAAAGAAATTTTCAAAAACAAATCTAATGATTTGAAAAAAGGAGAGAGAAAATACAAGTCTTTAATAAAAAAAATTCATGAGCCTTTTTTTCCCTCATAAAAACATGAATTTTTTTATCAACAATATTTTTTTATATAAAAACTTAATATAAAAATATGAATTGATAATTTTGACATGAATATATTAAAAATATAAAAACATTAAATAGGAAATTTACAATAAAAAAAAATAAAAAAAATAGGTATTTCATTTGCATTGAATATTCATGTGCAAATTTTATAAAAACAATTCTACGTATCATGAGAATATATAATTATTTATAAAGTAATTTAATATTACCATAAAATCGATCAAATCATAGTAATTGGTTAAAATGTGGCAACCTAAAAGTTTTTTTCTATTTTTTTGTTTTTTAGTGACTTTCTTTTTTCTTCAACAATAACTAGAGATTAAAATGTGAAAAAAATGAAATTTAATTAGTGTATTTTTATCAAGGTTTTGTATTATTATTTTGTACTTGAAGTATTAATAATTTCTTAACTAAATCATGTTTTATAATAACAAGTCTAATAATATAAGTGATTAGTACCTAAAAGTGCATTTTTATCAAGATTTTATATCGTTATTTTGCATTTGAAGTATTAATAATTTCTTAACTAAATCATGTTTTATAATAACAAGTATGATATCATAAGATACCTTTAATTTATGGTAAATGTTCATTTTAAATTTAGGTTTATCATGTAAATGAAAGGATTGATTAATGAGTTTAAGTCCTGAAATTTAAAGGATAAAGAGAGGACCAAACTTAGAAAAGAGATGTTGATTCAACCCAAATTGAAACACTATTTAGTCATTGAGTCATATCTAGAACTATAGATTTTAGATTAATGTCTGCTCTATATGGATGGAAAGTTAAGACATATGGAAGGCAATACTCATTTTGTTGTTTGGAAGTCCAAATCTTAGCAATAACAAAGAAGTCCATATATGTCCTGCAACCCAGACATTGTTCAGTGTTCAGCTTATATCTCGAGTTCTAGAAGTCCAAATGACTTCATTTTTTTTCCTAAAAAACTGAGACAATTTTCTAGAATTTTTATGATTTAAGTATGTTTAAATTTTGACGTTATCAATGATATTTTGTTCATACAAGAAAATAAAAATTGTCATCAAGTCAAGATGTGATCACTCACTCAACAATTAGTCATCAAATCAATAGTTTCAAATTTTGGCCTATAAAAGGAGGCATTTGCCATGCATTTATGCATATTAGTTTTATGATCAAGATAATCTTCTTGCTCTCTCTTTATTTTAATGCTTAAATTTTGTTTATGGTAATCTCTTATTTATGCTTCTCATTTCTTTTTATTTACTTAGTTAACTTATATTTTATTTATATTTATATTTTGTTTGTTTGTTTATTTTTTCATTATATTTAACTAAGTTTATCATGTTAAGGTGAAAAAGTTACACTAATGGTGTAAGAATAAGTATAGTATAAATTCAACATGGATGTTAATGTTTGATACTAATATGTTTTGTATTTGTTATCTTATTCACTCTTAATACTTTGCTTGTTAAATGGTTAATCTAGATTTATGTTGTATAACCTTGGTACAACAAATGCTTGACACTTCTCCCAAGTGTAGGAGTGTCGAAATAATAAATAACCCGGCAAGACTGTAGTCAAATCACAGGAAGGTCAACTATATAAACTACAAATAAAAAAATAGATAATAACAAAAAAGGAGTTGAAAAGAGTTTTGAGATGTGATATGTGATATTGATATAAGGATTAAACAATAATAAAATAATTGGTAAGGTTAAAGGATCCACTAATGGTATTTCAAATAAATATAGTATAAACTCTTTTTATTACTCAAGTGAAAATTACACACAAAGGAGGTTCCAATCAGATTATAAATTGTTAACATGATTACATTAGTTATCTTGTTCGAATAATATTAATACTTGTAAATGTTATCAGATATTCATGATTATAACTTATGTTAACAATAAATCAAGTTTCTTTCATAGCACAAGTGTCAATTATACCATACAGTTGGGCTATGAAAATGCTAAATATTTGTTGTACCAAATGTTATACAACATAAATCTAGATTAACCATTTAAGGTCTATGTTGAGTTTGTACTATACTTATTCTTAAACTATTAGTATAACATTTTTACCTTGACATAATAAACTTAACTAAACATAATGAAAGAGAGAAACATAAATAAACAACATAAGAACATAAGTATAGCAAAGGAAATAAAAAGAAAAATAAGAGATTAAGGAAAAAAAATATGAAATAAAACTTAAACATTACAAAAATATAAAGAAAGAAATAAAGAGCAGATCTTGATATGAAAACCAAGATGTCTAAATGCATAGCAAAAGCCTCATTTTATAGGCCAAAATTTGGAACTATTGATTTGTTGACTAATTGTTGAGTGGGTGACCACATCTTGACTTAGTAACAATCTTTATCTTCTTGTCTGAACAAAACATGATTACTAATATCAGAATTTGAACAGATTATCTTCATGAAAGTTCTAGGAAATTGTCTTAGTTTTCTAACAAAAAACAATTAGTACATTTAGACTTTTACAACTTAAGATATGGGTTGAACACTAAATTTAGTGTTTGGGCTGTGAGACAGATTCAAATTTCTCTTTCGATGCTAAGATTTGGATTTCCAAACGACACATTTAAACCTTAGACTATTCATGAATGTTTTAGGCGCATGTCTTAACTTTTTAGTCATATAAATTGACACGACTAAGGCCCCGTTTGTTTGCAGGAAAGTTGTTTCCTTTTGGAAAGTGAATTCCGGGGAAAGTGAATTCCGGGAAAGTGAATTCCGGGGAAAATGAATTCCTGAAAAGTAAAGTATTTTTCGATGTTTGGTAGTGTTATGGAAAATGAACTGAAAAACACTTTCCAGTGTTTGGTTATGTCATGGAAAATGAACTGGAAAATAATTTATTAATATTTTATTTTTCTCAAGTTTATTAAAATAATAAGGAATAAATCTTACAAATTAAAAAGTTGAATAATAATGAAATTGAAAAATTTTTTTCATAAATTATCTCAAATAAAATAAATAATAATCAAAATAATAAAGATCAAATCTAAAAAAAAAAGATGAAGAAATTAAAATAATAATAATTAACATTTCATAAAGTATTTCAAATAAAATAAATAACAATCAAAAGAACGAGGACCAAATTTGATAGAAAAAAATTTCAATAAAAAACTAATAGGAGAAAAGCAAATAACAATTATAAAAATGAGGACCAAAGTACATATAAAAATTAAATTTTAAGAAATGAATTAAAAAATAAATATTCAAAACAAAATATATCTAGCAATCAAAAGTTTGAGGATCAAATTTGATATAATCAGCAAATAATGACATTTCTAAACTTTTCACAACTTCCGGAAAGTGTTTTCCTCCCAAATTTTTCAGGAAAACACTTTCCTGAAAATCAAGCCAAATTTTTCTTTAACTGGAAAGTATTTTCCTTTTATCAACTTTCCTAACAGCAAACAAACACAAGAAAGTTTGGAAAGTGATTTCCCAGAAATCACTTTCTGCAAAACAAACACAAGAAAGTTTGAAAAGTGTTTTCCCGGAAACCACTTTCCGGAAAACAAACACAGCTAAAAAGGAAAACACTTTCCTGAAAATTAAGCAAAATTTTTTTTTTTGACTAAAAAATATTTTCGTTGACCAGAAAGTGTTTTCCGTTGACTGGAAAGTGTTTTTTGTTGACCGGAAAATGTTTTCTGTTGACCAACTTTCCTAATGACCAACAAACACAGGAAAGTTTGGAAAGTGGTTTCCCGAAAACTGTTTTTCAGGAAACAAACATAGCCTAGGATATCCTACACAATCCATTAAATATGGGTACCCATCCTATCTTTAGTCCGGCACAACAAAATGGAGGATTGAGCTCATATTCACCGGTCTCTTTAAAGCTCCACGGGAATTCAACCATCCTAGGCCAGATGATTGAATCAAATTTAGGAACATAATTGCAAAGCCCGGGAAACTGCTTGGCTTCCTGGGTTGTAATTTATGGTTATCCAATCAACTAGAATTTAATATTTTTAATCAAATTTACTCTCTCTTTTTTTTAATTTTTTAATATTAACTAGATTGGATTCGAATTGAGATTAGTTATGTAAACTCAATCACAGGTTAATCTAGTGAAATCAACTAGATTTTATTAGGTCAATGCTAAGATCAGTTTGAACTGAAACCTAACCAAAATCAAGCTTTAATTCACAAGTTTTCCAAACCAATACGTAAAATAAAATTAAATTTGAAGGGTTATTTACTGTTTTAATTGTTGTGATATCAGACTTAAGATAGTTGTAGATTGCTACATGATTCTAGCCCCCCCTCTCTCTCTCTTTCTTGTCCTTGAATAATTATTCATCTGATCATTGAATTTTATTTGATCTTATTTTGACTCATATGTTATATTATTGTATTTGTGATATTAAAAAATATATCAATATTAAATTAATATTTAATTTTGTGAAATTAAATTAAATTTAATTAATTAGAAAAAAATTAATTGTTATAGAAAAAAACAACATTTATTTTATTATCTTATCTATTGTTTAGGGAC